GAGTCTCCTGCCAACTTTCTGCCTGGGGCTGACTTGGAACTGGGATCCTCAGATCTCAGCCTCCTGAGTAGTTAGATTTACAGGCATGCGCCACTGTGTGGAAATCTTTCAGAAAGCTGGAAGAATCAGGATGAAGCAGACTTTCTAACATATGGAAGGCTGTTTTCTAGGTCAATCTTTCATGTTCCAGGGAAGTTTTTGACTAGTGACATTTAACAAAGATCTACATTGGAATTGTTCTGACTTCCTGACAGATTGTAAAAGTGCTGATAATTCTTTCCCACATACCTATTTGATCATTAATAAATCTATAATTACTTTAAAGTTCTACATATTTTGTAGCTCCTCACAGAAGTTAATAAATACTTAATAACTTTTGTGATTCAGAATAACTTCTTGTATACATTAAGGACTCTGAGAAACACTTTCAATGCATGATTCAGACATAAGTTAGGATAGCCACCCAGAAATTCCACTCCCACACATTTACCCAAACAATTTTAAACAAATACACAGTAAAGGCACCAGCACAACCATGTTTATTGTGGCACTATTCACCATAGCCAAAGTGTGGAATCATTCCAGATGAATAAATCAAGAAAACATGTTATATATACACAGTAGAATTTTATTCATCCATTAGAAAGAATGATATTGTATCATTTGTAAAGAAATGGAAAGGACTGGGGAAACATTTTGCTAAGTGAAGTAGGTCAGGTCTAGAGAGACAACAGATGTTTGTGTTCCTTTGTATATGGAAGCTAAATTTAGCTTATGAACTTGTAAGTAAATACATTGGGTGGTATGCAAGTATATACAGATGTATTAACTGAAATATGGTAAATTCAAGGGAGAACTTAAATAGTGTAATTCTTTAGAAATACAAAGTCAAAATTCCACAAAATAAAAAAACAGGAAGCAGGTACTAGAAAAGGATGGAGTGGGGTCAAGGGGAAACAGGTAGGCAAATGAAGAGAAGAGAGGAAGAATGAAGAATACAATGATTATCCTACAAAATTATAGAGTGATGGAAGTGGAGAGCAGAGGAGAGATGGTTAGGAATATTATATTTCTAATCATCTTTGTTAAGTGACAACTACTTGTACAACTACTTAAAGATTTCTACATCATATATAAATAATATACATTTATTGAATTCAAGTATCTGATAAGTAAATTTCTCTTATATGACATTACTAGACCATCAAATCACAATTGAAATTTTATTATGTAAATAAACACACAATGTCCTAATGAAAATCAAATTTCCTTAAGGTAGTTGCCCTCATATTGTAAGAACTGTGTATCATTTAGTGTCATAAGATTTCTCATTATAACTGAGGGGAAAATGGTATCGTACCATCTTGATGGATTAAAAAAAGTTACTTCAGAAGGAAAATTTATTTTAAAATACAGTGGCTTAAAATGAATTTCTTAACATAGCATCTACAACTCAAATGTGGCTAACTCAGCAGTAAAAATAAAATGAATACACATTTATCCTCGTGAACTATTCTGTAGAGAAATATTCATGACAAAGAGAAATGTCACCCAGTATAAAAAACAGAACAACCTGGAAAATACACTAGAAAGAATATATACATCCAGAACATGCGTTATAGAATGCTGTATTATTGAAGTAACTAAAATAATGGAAACAGAGTTTTGAGTAGAATAAAGACCCTCAAACAGAAATCTTGCTAATAACAGCCACCATTTATTCACTAATCTTAGAGAAAAGCACACATAATGAGATGGCAAAGTCATTATTCAATCCTATTTCTCATCCATTTAAAACCCATTGCTTTCTTTTTATCTGTATCAAAAACCACATCGTGATACCATCCCATGTCCTCAACTAGAGCAAGAAAACTATATGAAAGCAAACTTCACAAATCCTACCCACTAACAAAATAGAGCTGAGGAAACAACTTGAAGTATCAATCTATGAATGCCAAGATACATGAAAGCGCCAAGGAACTAGAATATAAATCTTATGATTAGATCAAGAATATAGAGAAGAAAAAAATTAAAGCCTTAAATCCAGGAACTGTTACTGCAAATCAGAGACAGAATTTTTTTAAAAGCCAGGTTAGAGAACCACAATTACCTCATACTTGATACTCTACAATCTCACTTTGAGAAGCTTTCCTTGTACCTAAAATCTATCATTAAAGAAAAAAAGGAAAGGTGTCTCTTAGATAATGAGAGAAAATACAAATAGGAGCTGAGCACTAGTGGCTCATAGCTATAGCACTAACTAACCACAAGGCTCAGATCCATAGGACCTTAAATTCAAAAGTCAGCCATGGCAAAAATGTCCATGAGATTCCATCTCCAAAGTAACTAGCAAAAAACCATGCTAGAGAAATGGCCAAGTGGTTGAGCATAAGCCGAGCAAGCATAAGATCCTCAGTTCAAACTTGAATGCCCAGGGGAGTGGAATTTTGAATTAATTGAATACATTGAACTAAACTCAGAGATATGAGACAAAAATGAGTTACTTAAATATCTTCACAATACAACCATTGTTATAAGAAAAAACACAAAGAACAAGTTATTGAAATTAAGTCATGTCCTGCACAGCATCAAATTGTACTATGTAAAGTATCAGCCTGGCTGTAATCTTAAGTAATACAATATAGCTGAGTGTCACTGATTATTTTCAAGAAGTCCTGCTACTTTGATCAATTTGAGATTTAAAAATAACTAGAATCCTAGTGCTAACTACCTAAAACAAGTAGCTTCTATAGACAATCATACTTCAAAGAATGAAAAAAAAACAGATGAGCTATATCTAGATCCACTCTAGATATATGTGTACCAAACATTATGCTAAGAATGCCTAAGGATCTGGGAAGAGAATCACTATATAAAAGAACAAGGTTGATTGCCTGATATGGGGCTTAAAACCCAGCCAGAAAAATATTATGAAATTTGAATAGAATAAGTTCATGGTTTTCACTTAACATTAACCTGTTTCACTTAGACTATTTTCTAGCTTTGTCATTAAAATTAAAGAATTTATCCACTTTAATTCAAACATCAAAAAGTCATCTTTAAATCAAAGTACTTAAGATGCTACTGCAATTTGCATTTTAGTTAAAATGAAAATCAAATTTTCACCAGGACTAGACCCTTGCATTTTGCCTTCTGCCCCAATATTGCTCTCCTTTTGTGCTCTGAAGGAGAAGCTGTGTTTCCACACAGAGCTAATGTAAACTGGATGCAGTTAGTTTCTTCCTGCAAGTCACAGGTGACAAGAGACTAATTTTTAATGTTTTTTATTGTAAAAATACTGTACAGAGGGGTTGCAGTTACATGAGCAAGCTAATGAGTACATTTCCTATCAAGCATTATTGCCTCCTCCTTTGTTTTCCCCCTGCCATCCCTTCCCTCCCACCTCCACAACTACACTCCTCCCCAACCCCCCCCCACTTAAATTGTAAAGTTCATTTTTCAATATAGTTCTTGTACATCTCATTGTTACAATGGGTCAAACTGTATCCCTATTTAAGCATTTTGTTTTTTCTCTTCCTCTCCCCAAATTAGAGAAGTGTATATACAAGCTGCAAGACACTGACATCAAATACAGTGAAAACGGGGATTGTACCGTGGGGGAGGAACATACAAAGAAACAAAAAAAATTACATGATACACTATAAATATGTTAGACACAATAGTAAGAAAGAAAAAAACCACTTGTCTCCCTATCTTGGGATTCATTTTTCTTGACATCATCTTATCTGGTCATATGTACATAGCTTTTGACCTTTTTATGATTGCATGCAAACCCAAGGTAACTTCTGTCAAAGACTCTGTTCCTAATTATTCCATCATTTTTCTCTTTAGGTATCATAAAAACACCAATATAGTAGAATTTTCTTTTTAGAAGTTAAGCAAGCTCCTAAGAGCATCTTATCTGTATCGCATTCAGAGGCATAAAGGTGCTCTAACAATATTGCTGAGTGGATAGATGGGTTGATGAAAGCAAAAAGAAGGAAAGCAAGAAAAGAAAAAGAAAGGAGGGAAGGAAGGAAGGAAAGAAAGAAGGAAAGAAGGAAGGAAGAAAGGAAGGAAGGGAGGGAGTGAGTGAGGGAGGGAGGAATAAATAAGTCAATGGACACTTTATTTCCATTAACTTCTCTCATAGGATTCTAATTTCATTAACTAGGCAACATTATTAGTAATTAAGCAAAAAGGGACAAAAAGAATAGCTGTAAAAATCAGGCACTAGAGAAAGAAAGAAATATTTTGCAAAGAAAAGAAGAGGAAAAAAAGCACTTCTTCAAATATCATAGCTTCACACTCAAGGCTGGTCTTTCTAAGTCAGAAATACAAAAACATATAACTCTTTCATAAAATTTTGTATAAATTGCATTTTAGTTGAAATATTTAAAATCTACTAGGAAATGTGTTAAATAATTGGTGAATCCTCTTCCTAAGACTTAATGCCAGATCAAAGTAAGGTTTTAATGAAATGAATTTTCATGAAGCAATACAGCCAATAATGAGTCACTCTATAAGATTTCATCTTTCACAATTGAAGGATAAATAACTAATTAGGGGAAAACTGGTTAAGAAACACTAAATACATATTCTAACAAAGTGGAAAATTTGCCTTAAGATAATCTTGAAGAAATACTTCTTTGTTAACTTTAAAGTGAATTATTTTGCTTAAGGAGACTTAAAAGAGTGCCAAAGGGTATGTAAATCATCAGAAGAGTTTAAAATTATATGCTTGCAAATCAAATAAGTTGATCAGTCAGACTTTTAAGAGTGCAAACTATATATAATAATTGCTTCTTAGTTTTAATAGCAAATATTATATTACTAGTGCTACAAAACATGAAGCATATTTGCTGCTTAATCAAGTATTTTAAGTAGCCTATTAATAATCAGGTTCCTAAGTGGCATCGGATTCTGAAATAAAAACCTACATTCCTATTATGTTACAGATTAATATTTGTTCTCAGAACTACTTCCAAAAAAATTCTTACCAGACATAAACTGTGTAATAGAGGATAATTCCATTTGGCTCCATGGGCGGTTGCCATGACAACTTCACAGTGACACCAGACAACTGTTTCACAGAGAAGTTTTGAGGAGGAGAAGCAGGGGCTGAAAAATTATAGAATAGAACAATGCATTTCATAAAATATATAGGAGAAAATGTTAAAATGCAAATGCACAGATTTTAAATGATAAACTTTCTGCTCAATGAGTCCTGACTGCTTTTTGCCACAGACCCCAGAATATGTTTACTTTCAAATGTGATGATAAAAGAAGATTTTGCATGGTGGGGTTAGAACATCTGTTTCTGTGATTCAATGGAAAAGATTATTTCATGAGAAAATACAAGAAAGAGTATGTCACAGTGACTCACCTACTGTTCAAGTGTATCTTAGTAAATTATTATCCTCTAACAAGAACAAACACTTGATTAGAGTGAATAAATGTACTATAGAATAAAACTGAACTCGAGACAGTAAAAAAGAGTTGGAAGGAAAAAGAATCACACATCTAAGAAGTGGGAAATTGATAGCATAACACTGGAAGAGCAGTTACCATGACTGACCTCACCAATGATAACTACGTTCCTCAGTCTCAATGGTGTTATTAAACTGTAAAGTAATATCAACATCTGCTCACTGACTACAAATTGAATGCTTTACAAAGGAAACACCAATGTAGCACAAAAACAAGAAGACAGTTCTGGAACTAGTAATTCTGTTAAAGAAGAATATAAATAATTTTGCATTTTTAATATAAGAATATTATAGAATGGTAATTCCTTTGCACAAATATTTAAATAAAAAGATAACAATAATTTATTATATATTATATTTATAAGAATATGTAATAATAATATATTATACAATATAATATATATGAGAATATTCTTTTATAAGAATAGAAATAATTTTAGTAATCTGTACTGGAATAAGCAATAAAAACTTCACTGCAAACCAGTAGGAGAAGTTTATATTTCAACTTATCTGAAATATTTATAATGTAATTCTCAACTGCTATAGAGAATTAAAATATTATTGTTGTATATAAAAAGTATACTCTACAAAAATTTGGTTCATTATTTTAGTAACAGAAAATGAACTTTTATGTAGTTCATACAGATTCTGAGAATTGGTTTGAACCTTTAAACTATAGCTCCTCTATAGGTCATTATTTCTAATAATTAAAAATGCTACTTGAATTGTATCAATTTTTTAGAACCCAAATAAGTTCAGCGACAGCTATGTGCACATTTCTATTACTTTACTAGCAATAAGTTTATTAAACAAAGATTTGTGAGATGAGTATATCCCCAATGGAACTGAAATAAAAATGCTATGGAATACTGATTTTGATATAACCTCTGTTATTTAAAATTGTCTATTTTCCAGACAAATGAGAACTCTCATTCATCAAGGCAATAATCTGTTCATATTATGTCTTTGTTTTCAAAATATGACCTCATTTTATTTTTGGCAAAATATCACCTTTCCTGCTTTTTTCACCCTTCAAGTCACACCTTAGATACAACTTCCACAATAATTATGGTCCCCCTTAAGATTCGCTGAATAATTTTTGGAAATACTTAAACCAGTAACTAACATAAAAATCATTTGCCTATGCTTTTGTTGAACTTAGTTTCTTCTTCAAACCTCAGTCTCCTTGAGGGTCAGGTGCACCTAAACCCCAGTAAGGAAAACTTCTTCAACCCATTCTCAGTGTGCTGTAACTTCTCAAGAGAGGAATAGAGTCTTTCTTGTTCTTTACTTTGTTTCTCAAAAATCATAAAATGAGGCCTGGTACTCGGATGAACATTTACCTTGGTAATTCACACTTTTTAAATCATTACCTTTTCAGCAGTTGTACAAAGGGGGTTCAATTCTATTTGTCAGTTTATGAGTAAAACACATCTTGATCAGTGTCACCCCTTTCATTATTTTCCCCTATCTCTCCAAATCCCCTCAATTTCCTTATGTTCACTGAATATTATGATTGCAATCTCCCAACTGGGAATCCACATTTTTAACAGCCTGAGTGATTTGATGCCTAATACAATTTGGAAGGATTTATGTGAGTGGTAAAATCTCTGCCTGTTTAAAATACATGTTCATTACCTGCCTGCTTCCTCCAGATTCTCACCATTAGGTCTATTTGATTAGATCACATATTTAAATCTGGCACTATTTCCAGAAAGATATTGCTAAAATGATTTAATACATCTAAGGCAGAAGAAAGCGAAAGCTTCTTCCCTACCCTTTTACTATTGATCTACTGGGAAGGATTCATTCATTACGTTCTTTTTTCACTTTGAGAGCAAGGAGAATGTACCTATGGAAAAATAAAAATTCAGAGAGAAGTTTTAGTGGAGAGGAGCAAAAGTACTGAATAGAGGAATTGCACTTAGAAACTTAAGCATCTCTGAGCATACTACCAGGAGACTTGCGAGAAATGAAGTGAAAATGGAGAGGCTTTCAAAGAGAGAAGAGGATTAAAAACAAAAACTGCACTATTTTGTGTAGAATGAGCAGTGCAATGCAATGTGTTTCACTTTTCCAGAAGGGTCTAATGATCACTGTGCTCTAAACTCACAGAGCATAAATTAACTCAGGATGGACGTCTTCTTGAAAGAAAGATACAAGGGAAATAAATACTCCACAAACACTTATAACTTACTCTGGCCAACTCTCATAACTACAGGAAATCCAGTCACATAAAAAAACAAATGTTTCAAATACACAATGTATAAAATATAATATGTAAATCCCAGTCCCAAATTCATCCCATAAGTCATTTTCTTAGCATGATACAACACTATAACCTGGTGAGGTACTAATGTAAATTGGTCTTGGTAGTAAGGTTGATTTTACTCAGTTTAAGAAAAAGTATATTTACATATTCATTGTTAAGGCCATTAATATTCAAGGAGATTGCATCTTGGTCAGTTATGAAGAGAACCTTGTAGATCCTAAATTTATTAACAAGAAAATATTTTAAATGTCTTGTTAATTAATTTTGATTTTAAGACTATAACAAAAATATGACATTATTGTAAGAGAAAAATAGTTTTGGAGTAACAATGTCATATACACATATATATGTGTATTACCCAATTAAAAATAAATTTACATCATTTCTATTGTCATGAGAAGGGAAAATAATTTTTAAGACATGATTTTTAAACATTTTGGGACCAATGCCAGAAAATGATAAAAGTTGTTGTTTGAAAAATCCACCGTAAAACTTATCTAAAGATTTATTCTTATGAATACAAAAGTTGTAAAACACATTTGTAACTTATAGCTTGATGTTCAAACTTTTGAAAGAAATAGTCATAAAAATTCCAATAAAATCATTTATTTTACACAAAACTATTTCAAAAGCAAAAAATTCATTTTATAACTGATTTTATCTAATGTAAATCTGATTTAGCTAGCTTTTTTTAAAAATCATGACACTAAAATTTCTATATGGTGCTGGTGGATAGACAAGGCCTGGAGAATTTTTATACTAGGGTTCAGTCTATATATATGTTTCTTAAGATGTTATGGAATCAAAATATATCAATCAATGCTACTATATTTACCATCTTCTTCAGTCAATATGCTTACTGGCACACTTCGAACTCCTTCACCTATGAGTGTACTAGCAGATACCTCAATCAGATATTGGGTATATTTCTTCAGTCCTAAATAGAAATCAAATAGATAAAATAACATTAGAAAAATCCTGGGCATCTACCATGAACATCATGAGCCAGGATATGATAAGGACACCTGCACATCCATGTTCATTGCTGTACTATTCACAACAGTCAAAATACCAAAACAACCCAGATGCCTCATAGTAGATGAGTAGATCCCAAAAATGTGCTTCCTATATACTATGGAATTTTACCCAGCCATTAGAAAGAAAAAAATAATGCCATTTGCAAGGAAATGGGTGGAACTATAACAAATCATGTTAAGTGAGGTAAGCCAAGCTCAGAGACACAATGGGCACATTCTCTCTGATATGTAGAATTTAGATCTAAAATGCACTGGAACATGATAAATTATACAAGATTCTAGATACTCACACACAATGAGACCAAAAGAGGATACTCTTAGGAGACAAACACAAAGTCATAATGCCTAAGTGCCTCTTCATATTTTTATAAAACAACATACATACTAAAATAAACACCAAGATATCGAAACAAGACACTTCCTTTTTTCCGGTTTTAGTTTTGGATGGTTCTGACTTCTTTGCATTATGTATGAAATGTTCAAGTATACATCTTTGGAAGGGCTGGGGAAGGGTACAGACCTCCAGAGAAAAAGGGTGAAAAGTGTAACAGTGGGGATCACTGGAAATTGATGAAAGTGAACTACACACTTGAGATGGAGATGGGAGGGAGGGACTGGGAGAGAATGAGAGAACAGATGACACTGTACCAAAGGTAATAGATTCATTATCTGACTCGTGTAATTGTAATCCCTTTATATATCACCTCTATCATAACAAAAAGAAATTAATTTTTTAAAAAAGTCCTTTAAATTGAGTATGGTAGTTGGAAGGCAGAGCCTGACATACATAGCAAAGACCTGTCTAAAAGGAAAAGAGAAAGAGACTGTGAGAGAGAGAAAGGAAAGAAAAGAAAAGAAAAATCAAAGACAGATGAAGGAAGGAAGGAAGGAAGGAAGGAAGGAAGGAAGGAAGGAAGGAAGGAAGGAAGGAAGGAAGGAAAGAAGGATCAAATACCTCGTCATGATGAATGACAGGTGAACTCTTGAAAGGTTCTCAATTCAATAATCTTCCCAAAGTTAAAACTACAATACTATTTAGCAATAATTCTTTCTATTATGAAGACAAAGCTTTGGATAATGTGGAAGGAGATTGACCTAGAATATTCTTTCACACAACCTGCAATAAACTTTTAGCTCATTTCACCAAAAAGATTGTCCATGCCCTATGTAGAAACAAGCACATTGAAAATGTTTAAATAAATTATTAGTCTAATGTTTTGTGGTCACAATGTCAACATAAATGCAAATATCCACTGTTAGATTTGTTCTCTCACCTTTAATGTTCTGGGTCAAAGAGGTTGTATTTATTGTTCTTTCCTCATTTCCATTACTTCTCTTGAGATAAATTGTATATTTTTGTATGACACCATTGGGACTGCTTGGAGGAAGGTATGATATCTCAATCTCTCCAGAAGAAATGTTCTTGTAAGTAATATTTTCTGGTGCACTATCAGGCACTGTGAAATAAATTAAAATATATTAGCATGAACAAGTTCCTTCTAAAAATCTATTCTGCTTCCATTTTCATGTAAGTGTGTTAGATTATACACAAACTTTAACCACAATGTGAACATAACATATATCCTACAAGCATAAGCTGTAGATAAAATGTAGCACTTATAAGTGTGCAATAAGTTTGATCTCAAATGAAAAAAATAATAATATAGTTCTGCATAGCAACACTGGATAATATGTTTCAGAAAAGATTTAAAACACTAATTACAGGGTTGGGAATGTGACTTAGTGGTAGAGTACTTGCCTTCATAGTATTGTCTGAAGCCATGGTTTCTATTCCTCAGTACCACATAAACAGAAAAAGCCAGAAGTGGTACTATGGCTAAAGTGGTAGAGTGCTAGCCTTGATCAAAATAAGCTAGGGGACAGTACTCCTTGAGTTCTCTAGCCCAAGGACTGGCAAAAACAACAACTCCAAACCCCTACCTGTTAATTACAAGGTATTTTGTCCTAATGAACAATCAGATGCTAAATAGAAAGTTAGAAAGTATTTAAATTTGATTGTACTATTCACTAATAATTCTTTTCATAAAACTTAGCAGGTACTTTGGGCTCAAAGTAAGAACTAAGGTAGTCAAAAAAAATCTGTGTTAGAATTGAGATTATATCATATGACCGGATAACAAAACGATCTCCTATAAAAGCAGGGTATCAGTAATAAAGTATTGGCTCACTGTATTTGATAATATTTCTGTGGTATTAAATGTAATTTTATAAACTTGCTTGTTTTTATTGTCAGTCCTGGGGCCTGAACTCTGGGCTTGGGCACTGTCCCTCAGCTCTTCAGCTTAAGGCTAGTACTCTACCACTTGAGTCACAGCTCAATCCACTTCCAGCTTTTTCTGCTTATGTGGTGCTGAGGAATTGAACCCAGGGCCTCACGCATGCAAGGCAAGCACTCTACCACTAAGTCACCTTCCCAGCCCAACATAAACTTGTTATCTATGCATATTCAATAGTAAAAATCAAATATTGAGTTTTTATTTCTGGCAAAAAATTGAAAAAGATACTGAATAAATATTTGACTTAAAATAACCAAAACTCTGTAGAACATTAAAATATTTTCCTTTAAGAATTGTAAAGCTGACAACAAAATTAGAAATCATTGGGGGACAAAAGGAGATTAAGTATAAGTATCAAACAAAATATAAAGGCACAAAATAGTCAGGTTCTGGTGGCTCACACCTGTAATCCTAGCTACTCAGGAGGTTGAGATCTGAGGATTGAGGTTCAAAGCCAGCCTGTACAGAAAAGTCCCCATGAAACTCTTATCTCCAATTGGCCACTCAAAAACAAAACAAAACAAAACCTAGAAGGGCAAAGAGGCTTAGAGACAGTAACCAGGCCCTAAGTTCAAGCCCCATAACACTCTCTCTCTCTCTCTCTCTCTCTCTCTCTCTCTCTCACACACACACACACACACACACACAACATTGTAAAATAAAGTCCAAGGTTGGAATCTAGTTCTGCAGCTAACTTTGCCTTAAAGAGTACTGATGTAGGTTCTTCAAAAGACTCCACATAGAGCTCCCCTATGACCCAGCAATCTCACTTTTGGGCATTTACCCAAATGATCACAAACAAGGCCATAATATAGCTACCAGCACAACTATGTTTATTGCAGCATTATTCACCATAGCTAAGATGCCAACCCAGATGCCCCTCAGTAGATGATTAGATCAAGAAAATGTAGTGTATATATTATATATAAATTTATATACAATTATATATAAATTATATAAATGTATACACACACACACACACACACACACACACACATATATATATATATATATATATATATATATATATATATCCTATGCCTCTATCATTAGGAAATGGAAAGACTTGGAAAACATTCTATTAAGTGAAGTAAGCCAGACCCAAAGAAACACAGGTCCCATGGTTTCCCTTATTTGTAATACGTCTAGGATAGGTCTAGGATAATCTTACTAGACAAGGAGAAAACATCAAAAGCTATATACATATGACCATATAAGATGATGCTAAGGGGCTGGGAAGGTGGCTCAGAGGTAGAGTGCTTACATGAGGCCCTGGGTTTGATTCTTCAGCACCACATAAGCAAAAAAAAAAAAAAAAAAAGCCAGATGTGGCACTGTGGCTCAAGTGGTAGAGTGCTAGCCTTGAGCTGAAGAGCTGAGGGACAACATCTAGGCCCAGAGTTCAGGGCCCACAACCACCACCAACAACAACAAAAAGATGATGCTAAGCGAAATGAACCCAAGATAGGGACACAAGAGGTTTCATCTTTGTTGCTGTTGTTTGTAATCTACTATGTGATTTTTTTGTTTTTCTTGTATGTTCTTCCCCCATGGTATAACCCATTTTCACTGCATTTGATGTTGGTGCCCTGCATCTTGTATATACATTTTTCTAATTTGGGGAGGGGAAGGGAAATAACAAAATGCTGAAATAAGCATATAGGTTGACCATTGTAACAATGAGATGTACAAGATACTATGTTGAAAATGAACTTGTCAGGGGAGGGAGGAATTGGAGAGATGGTGGGGGGAAGGGATGGTAGGGGAAAAACAAAGAAAGAGGTTAACAATTCTCAATAGGAAACTTACTCATTACCTTACTCAGGTAACTGTAACCCCTCTCTACAGTATCTTTACAATAATAATTATATATATATATATAGAGAGAGAGAGAGAGAGAGAGTACTGATGAACTCTGGTAGCCGTGCATTTGCTTATTAACAGAAATGTGCAGTGCCACAGAGTGTCACATTAGGTCATAGAGCTGAAAATTAAGAGGATGGGTACTGAACTCAACACTCCATCAGTAGGCTTCTGGCATCTGAAAGTCAAGTGTCAAGATAGTCTACTATTGTCCACTCAAATGGGCGGGCTAAAGAGCTTTGGGATAAGCTGTTTGTCGCTCTCTAATTTTCCTACTAACCTTATTAAACAAGCCTTGTTATTGGACTCAACCATCTATCCCCATCAGTTCTTTTCCTTTACTATAATTTATGAGTCACTTTACTTAAATAGTCCTGTTTCCTTGCTTATAAAAAGTTCTAGCCAGCTGTGGGTGCCTCATGCCTAGCTACTCAGGAGGCTGAGATCTGAAAGTTGTAGTTTGAAGTCAGCCTAAGCAGGAAAATCCATCAGACTTTTATCCTTAATGAATTGCCCAAAAATTGGAGCTGTGGATCAAGTGGTAGAGCACCAACCTTGAGCAAAAGAGCTCAGGGATAAAGCTTAGGCCTTGAGTTTCATCCCAGGACTGGCATACACACACACGCACACACACACACACACATGCACACACACACACACACACACAAGTTCTAGATGCTTTGTAAGATATTTTCCAGAACTGCATTTTATTATATATAATTTTAAATTATATTTCAAATTAAATTCATATATTCACTTAAGTTCATTATCCTTGCTTTCTAATTAAGCTCATACAGATAAAATAGAAATTAAATTTATTCGCTAGTACTAAGAGAATATATACATGTAATAATTAGAAAGGAAAATGTTTTATAATTAATAATTAAAATATCCTTGATGTGGTGATCCCTTCAATAGTAAAACAGTTGATAAACATTCATAAATATAGGCACTTTTAATATCGCATAGGATGTTATAATGTTATTTATTTATGCTATAAAAAACCCAAACAGAAAAATATCTCTACAGCAATGAATAGAAAGACTTAAAACACATCCTATAACTTTTCACCTTTATTGATGGCTCTGAAAAAGAAATGAGCAGTATAGTCAGATGAGATTAGAATTAACACCAGCTTCATTGCTTATCAGTTGGATGATCTAAAGGTCATCAATTGCTTAAGCAATTAAACACTAACTGAAGTAAGGAGGTCAGGTCTGGCTGGCACCATATTGACCACATGGTGGCTGGTAGGGTCTGGCATCTTGTCTTCATGCTGGTGGAAGGAAACCCCCTTCCCTCCCTCCTAAGTGATGGGTGTGCCCGCCACACTTAGCTGATAGGTTACTGAATCTATCAGTCCAGTGGCTGGGCCTGGGAATTTTCTGTGGACCTGCCCACTGGCTGACCCTATTTAGGCCTAGACCTGGACACCATGCCACGGGTCTCTGTAATCCTGTCCTGTGTCCTGTGTCCTGTCTGCTGTGTCTGATGTCCTATCTGCTGGCTCATCTCTGGTCATCATGGCATCCCAATTCAGCTTTCCATCAGAGCTGAATTGGTTTGTTGGTATTGTTTTTGTTCTTTCTTTCCTCTCTGGCCTATTTCCTAACCGTGTTATATGTATTTGGGGGCTGCAAGCCTTTGTAAAACCTGCTAACTATATAATAAAGATTCCAATATTCCATCTTCCAAAATGTGACTTCCCTGAGAATTCACCTTACAACATAAGTAAATTTTAAGAGGGCAAGAAATCATGTCCTTCTACACTGCTAAATATTCAGTGGAGCCTGGCATAGTACAAATATCTGTTGAAAGAAAGAACTACTCAGATCATCAGTTTTTCACGAGACAATGAAGATCACAATTTAGTGTTTTACTTTAGAAGTACAAAGACAATTTGTGTGAAAGCTACTAGCAAGAGCCCATGGTATTCCAGAGGCATTCAAAATTTGTTCATTTCTTTCCTTAACCTAGTGTAAAAAAAAAAGCATGTCACTGAAGAGCGTATATTTTCTCTAAAATATTGACTTAGGTACAATGTCTACAAAAGGAAGGAGCATGTCCATAGATAATTCAATTTTAATTAAGTATGCCTAAAAAGGACATATCAGGTGTTAATGATACAAATGCTCCTTCTTCTTTTTCTTATTACTACAACGATAATTGTCATTGCCTATGAACACTTTTGTGCTATTACATTGTATTAATTTCTATGCAGTCTCAAGAGAATGCTTTTACCCAAACGTAAGCTTTCTTATATTTCTAGAATTTCAATGTCAAGGACAAAACTTCATGGATATTATCTGGCCAATTCATATGGAATTACTGATATTTGACCATTTATAATCTATGAAAATGAAAATTTGATAATGTTTAACAATAGCTAATTAATAAATATTTATTCTTTTAAATGTACATTTTTTTCTTTGAAATTTTAAGTCTTAAAATTTGGTTAACTATTTTAAAATAAGACCATTCTCTATATTTAGTTCTAAACCCTCAGCATGCATTATGGAATTGCCCTAGTAATAAATCTTCCAGATGTCCTTGAATGAACAGACACAAGGATCAAGAAAATATAGTATATATATACATATATATATATATGAAATGGATTTTTACTCATCCACTAGAAAGTATAATGTTTCACCATTTGTAAAGAAATGGAAAGAACTGGAAAAGATTAAGTGAAGTAAGTAAGACCTAGAGAGAGACAAAGGATGAATGTTTTCCCTTACATGTGGAAGCTAGACTCAGCTTATAAGTAAATATGTTGGGTGGTATGCTACTGTGTACAATTGTATTAGTGGAAATATGCCCTTCTGTGCTTCTGCCATCCACACATAGACCTCATTAGAGTATAGCAATCTATCCTTGTGAATATATGTCTGAAGCTAGTAGTTAATCAACACCAGATTTATAGGTACATTGTCTTTTATTTGAAAAATTCACTTGCTCTGTTATCAAAAATCCCCTTAGGTATGTGTCCTTTCCCACACTTTTTGCCAGAAAAAGCAAAGAAATTTCTTGGCTATACACACACACACACAAAAAAAAATAGTAATGAATTTCTCAGGTTACTAAACCATAAACAGCATGCAATTGTGAGATATATTTACTACATTGTTATGCATTATTAAATATCAACAACAAAAAAGGTAAAACTTACCTGTCTCAGAAGTCCTTACAGAGAGTAATGATGATGAGTGATTGCCATGACCAACTTTGGTATAAGACCTGACAGAAATGTTATAGAGGGTGTAGGGTTTTAAGTCCTGTAAAAGTATGTTTGTTGTTGAGGTATTCTTTGTAAACAAAGAGTCTATATTTTCATAAAGTACTTCATAAGCAATAATAATCCCATTGGGCTTCTTAGGTGGTGACCATTGTAATTTCATTTCACTTGGGGAAACTTCAATTACTTCAACATCCTCAGGTGATGATTCTGGCTCTGGGAGAAGAAAACAAAACCTAAAATACCCGCATTTTTCTCATTTATATTGTTTCAAGACTAAAAGAAGCATAAATAGAAGCAATAGGCATATGAAGCCAATTTTCATTCCTTTCTCTTCCCTTCCTTTCTTTCTTCCTACCTACCTTGTTTCCCTCCCTTCTTCATTCATTCCTTCCTTCTCCCCTCCCTCCCTCTCTTTCTTTTCCTTCCTTTCCTTTCTCCTCCCTTTTCCATTCCTTTCTCCCTCCTTCTCTACCTTCCTTTCTTTCCTTCTTCCCTTCTTTCCTTCCTTTCCTCCTTCCTTCCTTCTCATTCATTAATACTGCATCTGCTATTCTTACCATCCTCTGGAGTTTTGATAAAGATGTCATTCTCTTCAGACAAAGGACTTTCTCCAACATGGGTTGAGGCAGACACTCTCATTTTGTAACTTGTGTATTTTTTTAAACCTACAAGGACAACAAAACATGTTTTAAAGTCATTGTGTGTGTGTGTGTGTGTGTGTGTGTGTGTGCGCGCGCGCACGTGTGTGTCTACCCAAATTCCTTCCTTTTGAAGAGCTTTCCTTAGAGATGATGTCAGATTTTCTGCCAATAAAATATTAAGTAGATCATCTAAAGGTGAAAAAGTAATTTTTGGCACTGTAAGAGAAATTGGCACAGATACCCTGTCAGATGAATTGATTTAGCTGATTTTCACATTCATTCATTTAATTTTTCAATAATGAGGTATTTTGATGAATCAGATATAGTATTTCCTCAGTCAAGTAAATTTCTGTGAAACTTACAATTTAATGAGTTTTAATCCTCTTTGAACAAATATAGGTAATGAAAAATATGGTTAGTAAAGTGGTTTCAGTGTTTTTAAATATATCCATAAAAACACAGAACAATGAAATCTAACCTTCTAGAGTATGTGTCTTGTAGTGTTAAAAGTAGAAGAGGTGTGTATTTTCCATCAAAATAAAGCTAAAAAAAAGAACAATATTGTTTGTTCTACCTGTTATGAGAAAGCTGTTATCTATAGTCGTCATCTGGAATGCTCTGTGAGTATCCAGTTCCATAGCATAAATTGTGTAATGAGTTATTTTTCCATTGGGATATTCTGGAGGATCCCAATATAACAAAATAGATGAAGAACTAATATTTTTATAGTTTATAATTTGAATGGAGCTTGGCACTTGAAAAGAAGAATAGAAAATTAGTGAATTAAAAGGAAATTGATGACAGCACCCAAGATCAACATTCTCATGTAATTGCTCTTAAAGAAACACATTCTTACCTTGCTCACGTGTCCTAACATTGAGAACCGTTGGTGGTCCCTCTCCCATGATGGTGAAAGCAGATACACTAATCATGTGCTCTGTGAAAGGTACAAGTTGCCTGATAACGTAAGACAGCTGTTCAGCAGCAATGTCAGTGATGTACAGATTCCTGGCTGTTACTATTTGAAATCAAGAAGAAAAAAAAGAAGAGGGTTGGCTTGATAGTCAAAATTATTTTTACTCAGTGAAACCTGATAGCACTTTGTATAGTAAACTCTTCAAACATGTCTGTGTATAACAGGTGAGTATAATTAACAATAAACATGATATCCATGATTTTTGTATAGCATATTGAATACTATTATGACTTATAAACATTCCCCATACAATTTCTAAACATGTATCTCAGAACATAGATTTCCTATTTTTTGGAAAAAAAAACACAGCTTTCCATGGACAATTAAGGATCATTTCTAGAAATAAACCCAAAGAAAGACTATAAAATGAAAATAATATAAATCAAGACTGCTCAATACCAGAAATTTTTTAAGTAAGAGTTTTATTTAGAGTCAGAAGTCACCTTACATTTGCTAGGCTCGATAATTTTTTAAAGCAAGCATTCATAGATAACTGACACAATAGGTGCCTGCACAGGATTTTAGTTATTCAGTTTTCACTTAGAACTTGTGCTTCCAAAACTAATTAGCAATTAAGCCAAACTTGAGGTATTTAAGGAAACAGCTATATCAGAAATTATGGTCTTCTTAATTTTAATGTTTTATCCAATCTGTTCTGAAGAAGAAAGATGGATCAATAAATGGTATAAACATATACTGAACAAAATGTGATTATTTTGCTAATTCTGCCACAAATGGAATAATATAGTGCTTTCTGTTTGAAACAGGACAAATACGAAATCAGAAACAAGGCAATAAAATAAAATATTCTCACTTAATATTTTATAAAACCTAGAGCTAATATACCTCTAGTCATCTAACCAAGGAGTTTTAATTTGCCACATATGACACTATCCTTTTAGAAACAAGAAGATCCATTGACTCTGAAGAACAAGTGTATACACTAATGACATCACCACATCATTGGGGTCATCTACACCTGTTTATCATCCCATGGGCTAGAGTTGTAACTTTCTGACCTATTTACCTTTAGTGACATTTGAAAACCTATTAGTCAAAAGCTGCAGAGAGTGTGAGGCCTGTAAATGATTTGAAGATATGTTAATCCCTCCCCATCACACCTGCTTTGGCAACTGTAATAACTGATTGTCTATGCAGCTTGGCTGGAGACTCTAGGGTGCTACTTTCTCTAGGAAGAAGGTCAAATGGGTGAGTGGGGGCAGCTCCTGCCTGTGTGGCATTTCCATTTGTTGCATGAGGTTATTCAGCAGTCAAAAAAATCTCACTCCAACTCATGGACCATTAATAATAGGGTTGAACTCTAAGCCAAGGTTCACATATCTGCTAGCTGGTACTAGTGGTTTGAATTCACTTTACTCAGAATTAAATTTTTACTTACCGATAGGTAAACTGTAGTCTTCAGCTCTATTCCTCACAGGAATGTTGTGTGGATGATTGTTATACATAAAAGAAGCGAGGGAATGCAGGTCAGAAGACATCTCTGCTGAGCCCTCATAAAATCCGATCATTGGCTCTACTATGCTCATCATCTCTGGAGACATGGGGTCATTTATGTGCTGCAATTGAAAGTAGATGTTTACAAAGACTGAAAAATCATGGTTATACTTCATGACTTCAAAACTTTTTACATTGGTGTCACATTTTCTTAATGGCATTTTCTATGCATTGCAAGATTTCTCTCTCAATCTACTAAAAACCTGCATACCTAGTGATGATCATCCTATTACTTATTAAACCAGTCCTGTATTTTGGAAAGAAGCAGGTATTTGTTTCTGACTTGAGTTAGTTTTTTTATGTTAAGATTATACATTTTCAAGGATGGATGCATAATTTCAATACCTTAAGGTCTATCCCCCAGATAGGAGGCACTCTAGGAATACTTTTATAATTGGTTTTGTTTTCGTATCCCAACATTTTTATTTGTATAACAAATGTAAGAGGCCTGAGTGCCTGCTTGTAATCAACTATAGTAATCTATTTATAAAGAACTGAAATTACTGGTAAGAATAAAACTGCACAGTTACAGTTGTCAAATTCTGTTTATAACACACTCATCCAGGGTTCTGCACTTCAGGAATAGTCTTTAAATACTCTTAAATATTCATATTTTAAGTATATTAAATATTCTTTAAAATATTAAGAAAGAAAGAGAGAGGAAGAAAGGAAGGAATCAAAGCAAAAAAGAGAGAAAGAAGAAAGAAAAAGAAAGAGAGAGAAAGTTCATCAAAGTGGTAGATATTGAAGTGAAAATATTGGTGCAGATTAGGGACATATATATATATATATATATATATATATATATATATATGGTAGAGATTTTTCTGTAGGGATAACATGATTCCTCTATTCCTTCTCCATCCCAACCCAGCATAACAGATTGAAATAGAATAGAAAAAGATGTTTTAGCCAAATAATCATAGGTGTCTGGTAGAAGGGCAACATTAATCATCAAAAGAGGTTAATATTATATAATTATGATATAATTATATAATAACCAATTCAAAGAGATTAATATACTATAATATTACATGATTATAGGTATAATATAATAATAACCAATGCACTGCTTGGATTCTAATTTGAATATGCCTATCAACATAGGATTCATAGAGATTATCAAGAAAACTTGAATATAATCTAGGTATTAGATGATGTAAATTGATGTCACTAATTTTGTCAGTGGTAGTCATGGTATTATTAAATGTATGAAAATGACCAAGTAATCATACTAGTTAGGCACATAGAAGCAAACTCGATATGATGTCTGGCATCTATTTTAAAATACATCTGCAGCAGAAACACAATGGAAGCCAGCTGGAGGAAGACCGGTAGAATGTTGTTAATTATTGAATCCAGGTGGTAATATATAAGGAGGAATACTGTAGGCTTTTTTCCACCTTCACACCTGCTTGAAATTTCACAAAATAAATCATTTTGAAAACAAAGGTGACAAAACTATGCCTTTATCAACTCTCAAGTTCTCCATCAAAACACACCTCCTAAACCCTATTTTAAAGAATATTCCATCATCACTTAAATGCTGTTGTCTCATCCATCAACATTTGTAATTAATTTATAATATAGGTTCTAGGTGTTTATAAGCATTGATAGACCTCTCAATTTCCTTATATGTTTTTGGGTTGTCTTCTTGCTAATGTCAAAGAACTTGATATTTTCAAGAAATAAATATGAAAAAAGAGATGCTAAGGAAAAATAATCTCAAGAATGCAAGAATTTTAGTTTCAATACCTAAAATACATACGATTTTAAACCTTGAATTTTCTGAAAGATAAAAAAGGGGCAAAATAATTCAAGAAAATATCCAAATGAGATCTATAAAATCAGCTCTTCTGAATCCTGTTTTATTCTTGCCCACAAAAGTATCTTGAGAAAAAGTAATGTGTAACCATGAGATATATTCATGTTATAATAGAGAATCCTGGAGAGGGAAGTTCAGATTGGACAAAGCAAAGACTTTCTATCTACCAGTGTCTTCCAGCATCTCATTTGTACTCTGTCTCCACCGGCAAATTAGGGAGGGCTGGAATCATAAGCACATAATTCAGAGATGTTCTGGTCTTCCAGTCAATAATCGAGGCCTGAACCAGACAGCTGTTTCCTCTATCAATCAGTCATCCTTGGATAATTTATTGTGTATAAAGCACTATTGATGGGACAATGAGGGGGTACAAAGAATTTCCCCTTGAACTAGGATTTTACATTAAGTCTCTCAATATTTTCTACTGCGTGTCAAATAAATTATCAAGAAACAGCTCATACACAGCATTCCATCAATAACTAAGCTAAGCATTTCAGTTAACAAACTGCCATTTTAAAGGAAGAGAGTTGTTTGAATACTCTTGACTCTGGGAATTTCTCAAATTTTTGTTTTCCTTGCAAACAATCTATAATCAGGGAAGTGACCTGGACATCGGTTTCAAAACAACTCAAAATTTAATCATTAATTGTTTCATGTCGTGAATATTTCTTACTTTGCCTCTTTCTTAAAGACATTAGATTAGATGTTATGTTTCCCAAAAGAGGAAAAAAGGTGTGTTAATTTCAAGAGCAAACCTTATTGAAAACGATTAGAATTGAAGAGAATAACAAGAAGGGACAGAGAGAAATGGGTGAAAAGGAAAATAGAAGTTTAAACAAAAAAATGTCTACTGTAATATTTAAAAGTTTGGACTCAATGAGTATGAAGGATAACCTAAGCACTACTGGCATTCTGTATGAGATAATTTGTATGGGTCCTAGATGATCTTGTGCACTTTAAGATGCCTAGCTACATCACAGGTTCCTATCATCCAAAGCATTCTCCCAGTTAAGACAATGAAGATATCTCCAGAGATTACCACATGTCTCTTGGAGAGCAAAATTGTCCCTGGTTAAGAGACTTTGACTTAGGATGTGAATGTCACAATTCATCAACATGAAAGGGCTTGCATACACTAGCCAAGAATCCTTGGAATTTATGTGAAAGAATTAGAAGTCTTCAGAGTTAAATTCCTAATCCACCTGAATAAACCAACTTAATTTTGCATGTAATTATCTTCATTGTAAGTGTAATATTGTTTGTGGAAAAAAAACTGACCTCTATCAATTTAGGCTCACTGGAATTCTGCTGAACTGAATTAATGAAATGTTTGACATATTTTTAAAGTAGTTTTTCAAAAAAGTTTCAGTTTAGCGAATGAGATTATGAGTACAATGTATCCAATCAACATCACCCCTTCCATCATTGATTTCTTTTTTTATTGTTATCTTTAAGTAGTTGTACAAAGGAGTTGCCACTTAACAAACAATTTACAAACAAAGCAATTCACAAATACATCTTGATCAATGTTACTCCTTTCAACATTCTCACCCATCCTCCCCATCCATCCCTTCCCTTAATTTTCTTAATTTTGCATTATACTCATCCATTAGAAAAAAATATATTGTATCATTTGTAAAGAAATGGAAAGACATGAAAAAATTATATTAAGTAAAGTAAGTCAGGCCCAGAGAAACAAAGGATTCCTGTGTTCCCTTACATGTGGAAGCTAGATTTAGCTTATATTAGTAAACACATCGGGTGCTATGCAAGTATTTACAAATGCATTAACTGAAATATGGTAGATTCAAGGGGAAACTCAAATGGTGTAATTTCTTAGAAAGGCAAAGTCAAAGCCCAACAAACTAAGCACCAGGAAATGAGTACTTTCAAGGTTTGGGGTGGCCAAGGGGAGAGGGGTAGATGAATGAAAAGAAGGGGAAGAGAATGCACACAGATTTATTCTTAAGAAATACTTTTATTTTAGTATAGGTATAATTTATGCTGTTATCAATAGAGCATGAGTAAGAAAAGTTGACAATTAGGACACTATATAATCCTAGGCAGATTTGAGTGACAAATACTTTAGGCTTATTTAATGACATTTATGTCCCATTTGTGCTCAATAAACTAAATTAATCTCAAGGTATTCCTAAACTGTCCTTAGCCTACTCTGTCGTTAGCTTTATTTTCTCCTGTCCTTAGCCCCATTTTGTTCCATTTGGCCAGAAATACCTTCGATGAAAGATACATCGATATTAATCTCAGATGTTTATAATATTAGGCATCAAGATAATGACTATTAGGAAAAAGTCTCAGACTTATAAGAGCATGCATAAAACCAGATGTATGTGTAAAATTAATCCAAAAATCCATCTCTGAAGGAGTGATTTTAAGGGTTTTCAGAATTCAATCTCAATAGAATGAGACTGTCAACTAAATTAATTTTAATCTTTGTTCTGATGAGAGTAAGTTTGTATCAAAAAAGAAAATATTTTTTCTCAGGCTGTTTCTAGTTGAATTTTATACATTCACTTTAAACTTTAAACACTACATTTAAACACGTCAGTTTAAACACTTTAAACACTACATTCACTGTAGACAGAGATTAATTAACCAACTACGACATACACACAAGAGAGTAATCCATGATAAGGACCTAGAAGCCATAAGTAATGAAACACTTTTAGTTTAATGAAAGGATAAACTTTACAGAATCTATGCCCATTGTTCTTAATTACTAAGTCATTGTGTATTGTAGTTATTTATACAAAGACTAACATTCTAAGCTGCTGTCTTAGGGTGTCCAATGAATTCTGAACATGTTTGCCCATGTGACCACAACTCAGGCACTACAGAGTTTTTGACTCCATTCTAGTTATTTGTTGAAATTCTCACAACCTGGGGGCACAGGAAGGATTGGAAGACATTTTGCTGGTTCCATATCTCATCCTCACAGTGCTATTGTCTATGGTGTAGGTCTAAAGAGGAGAGTTAGACCAACTGTTTAAACTATGGGGCAGTGGTTGCTTTTTATTCATTTCTATTTCTCCTGGGCTTTACAGAATACCAAGAATTTCATTCATAGTTAATAAATAAATGATGTAGGAACATACAGAAATCATGTTTTACACATGACAGAAGTGATGCCTCTGGCGTGATCAAGAATTTATAATCCAAATAACAATCCTCCGTCCACACCTCTTGGAGCCTTACTCCTTCAAAGCATCACTTGAACCATTTTTGTTTTCTATTCTTATAGATCTTACTCCCTAAAGTCACTAAATAATATGCTTCCCTTTCTGTTAGGGCTCATTTATTTGACTTTCTGCTATAAATAGTGAGAAGCCACATTACTTAAATACATGAATACATGTAAAATCATACCCATTCCTTAATCTTTTAGGTAACCTTTATAGTATAAATGATATACTAAAACCTATTAGAATAGGTATGAGAAACATAGAGCAGTGGGCTGGGAGACTGTGGCAGATGGTCTCTCCGGTGGTCCCTATTGTCCCTTCCTTTGAGCAAGGTAGCACCTGTTACTTGCCTCTCATCCATAGAATAGACAAAAGTGATAGGATATTACTCTCATGAACACACTGCCTGTATAGATATCTCTGCTGGTTTGAGGAATTTCTGAACTGATTAAGAAAGACCATAAAGCAAGACATTAAGGAGGGCTTCTCGAAGGAAAGAATAAAGTAACCAACTAAGAACCTGCAAGAAACCAAGGCCCAGGTGGTTCTACAGATCAAAGGAAAACCTCTAGATGAGATCAGATACCACCTCACCCAGACCCTTGCTATAGCCTGATGGAAAGCTAAGAGAAGGCTTCTGATCTCTGTTTGAACTCATAACTCACAGAACCTGTAAGATAACAAGTATGAACTGTACAAAGCTGCTAAATTTGTAACGAAAGTAATACCATGAGATAACAACAAAATTGCAGGTAAGAGAATATGCAATTTTGGGTCAGGGTTGGGACACATGGGGAAACAAATAGAAGTGCATGAAACTCAGTCTGGAAGAAGAAATAAATGGCCTTAACAATGACTGATTATTGAATGCTACTAAGTCAGGCATAACTCCAAGATTTCAAATGTTCATGGGAGTAGAACAATGGTGCAAACATCCAAACACATAAGGATGCCATAAAGTTTCACCCTCAAAGTCTTGTGAATCACTATTGCTTAAATATAATCTTCAGGTTAGCCAAGGGATTAGGGAAATCTAGGTCTATTACTTAGTACCAAGGCTTTAAGACAGCTCTCTTCAGACCCTGTTACTAGGCCTATTGAAAAGATTAATTGCCAGGACAACTTTCTTCTGTGTGACCTATGAAACCTTCAGAGGTTACCTCCATTTGAGGCCCCAATATCTCTCTCAAGTATCTTTGCCCCTTGCCAAACTCACTTCCTTTCCTCTTTCCACTACCCTTTTCTCTTACCCCTAAGAAGACTTTTGTTCTGGTTTGTTTTGGTTTACTGGGAAATGAGTTGAGGTAGTTTAGATACGATGAGCCCTAGCAAAACTTCTGATAGATAGGAGCAATTAGGAATTCATAGTGTCAGAAAGAAAGATCAGATTAGAAACTAGGGGAAAAAAAGAGTCATATCTATCAGAAGCAGTGATTGAAACTGTGAGACTGTAAGAAGAAAGTGTTATGAGATGATTGGAAACAGAACTCTCTGGAAAACCCTTTCTAAAGGTGTTAGAAAATAGAAAAGAGTGTTAGCTTTTCTATCTTCTTCATTTGTACTTGTTTAAAGCTAGCCTGAGTATTGTAAAGACTCAGCATATAAAACTGAAATGCACTTAGCAGCAAATGGTCTAAAAAGCTGGAGAGTGAGGGTGGATTCCACAAAAGCAAAGAAAATATAATCCTTTCAGAAAAGAATTATTCACCTAAGGGTATCTTGTAAATATAAGAATAGTTAAAATATTTAATTACTGTATTTGTGATTGAGGTTACTGGTGAAGTCTAACAAAACTTCAAAGCATTAAAGAGATTTTGAGACAGGGAGTGTCAACTAATTTATAGTAAGTGGAAGGAGAGTCCTTTATCTGAGGGAGGTACCAAAATAAAAAAATAATAAATGAACTCACCAAACCAAGAGTTTACTTCTTTGTCATTTTCCCACCTATCTAAACCAAATAGTGAACTATAGTATAAAAATATAAGTAAGAGTTTTCTGAAAGTTGACTTGTCTTAGATCATAGAACTACAAAAGGGAAGAGAAGCCAATGACCTTAAGCCATTTCGATTTAGAACTTGTGCTATATTTCCCCGCATCATCCTTCTGAAAGTTGAACTCCAATACCAATCACAAGGGAAACAGAAGTGTCAGAAACAAGTCCGATATAACAACAACAAAAAATAAAGTGTAATGTCTCTTATTGAGAGAGGATTCAGAAATAAACACTGAGTATCAACTAGGATAAATGATCAATGTCAAAATGAATAATCACAGCCGGCCATTAGTGGCTCAAGCCTATAATCCTAGCTATTCAGGAGGCTAAGATGGGAGGATTCAGGTTCAAAGCCAGCCCAGGAAGAAAAGAGATTCTTATCTTCAATAAACCACCAGAAAACTGGAAGTGGTGTTGTGGCTCAAGTGGTAGAGCACTCGCCTTGAGCTGAAGAGCTGAAGGACAACACCCAGGCCCAGAGTTCAAGCCCCACAACTGAAAAAAAATTACAACAGATCACAAATAATAGCACAAGTTCTATTATATGCCAGGTACATAATAAGTCCCTTATACACATTAGCTCATTAAGGCTTCATTGTTATAGGGACTTCTATAATCACCTCCTTTAAAAAGAATCTGAAGTGCAGAAAGGTCAAGTTAAATGTCGTGGATTAAAGTGTCAGCAATGACAGAAGCAAGGTTTAAACCCAAGCATTGTGCCTGAACCAAGCAGAAAGTGTTCATCAAAATGGGAAATGAATACCTCATCTTTTTCTGTGAGCAAAGTGTTTTCCAAGATTACTCCTGTCTCTAAGTCCAACACTGTCACTCGGTATTGGTTAATGATTCCATTTGGCTGTCGTGGTTTTCTCCAAGTAATTCTTATTTCTGTGGCTTCTACCTCTGCTAGTTGTAAATCAAATACTGCTCCTGGAACTAAAAGAAAAAAAAAAAGAAAAGTATAAGGGAGGGAAATCACACTTTCAAATATAAAAATATTCCCTAAGTTTTTCGGTTATGATTTAAAGTATATAAACAACTTTACTGGAAAATTGACAAATTTGATAAAAATAAAATATGGTATATGATTGCTTAGAGTCACGGATTTTCAATTAAATTTCTGAGCATTGCTCTCAAAACATAAATAAGGAATAGAATAACATGAAATAATCTTTTATAATCAAAATCTTATCAGTTTTGATCAAAACAACTGGATATCAAGAAGGCCTAGCTACTCCAGAGGTAGCAGAAAGAGAATGTTTACTTCAAGGCAACCGAAAGGTCTAGAAGTATGGAGCCCTTGACTAGAAAATGAAAGATTCTGAATTCAATTCCTAGAATTAAAAAAAAAGATCAGAAATTATCAATAAAAATAATTTCCCTGAAAAGCTATCTTTGAATGATTAATACTCAGATAGAACATTGAAGATTTCATAAAAGTTATAATAACATAGCAAAACGATATTTCTTTGAATGGAATAAAATGTTGTTAATAAATGTAATTAGACTAACTTTTAATTTATTATATGAAAATGTATGGAGTTGATTGATATTTTTTCTGCTGAGTTTTCAGGTTAATCATGTGAGTCTCAAATGATAGGGAGCTCTCAGTGAAGAAAAACTGGGACAAATTGGTTAAGATAACAATTGGTTAAGATAATAATTGGTTAAGATAAAGCACCAAGGACTTAAAGCAGCCTCCTTATAAAATCACCAATGCCTCCTGTTCCTCAAAATAATGGATGAGGACTTTAACCAGTTATATTCATAGCTCACTGTATAATTAAGAATTGTCTTCCAACCCTCACCTTCTTCAACTATAATATGGGTAACAATTTTATTTTTTCCTATAACTACACAAGGTTCCTGTAAGGAATAAATATTTGAAGAGAATTTCTAAAATATAGGTTTTATAATGAAAAACATGACATAAAACATTGTCCTTTATGATCAATATAAACACACACATTAAATTCATTTCAACTCTTTTGCAGTGGTACAGATGTAGTAACTTTGTTTCGAAGATATACACATTGTCTTAAAGGAAAGAGAAAAGGACGGCCTGCTTTCTTTTAAGACAATGGAAAAATACTGAGAATAATATTGTAACTTCTATATTAGTCATTCCAATACTCAAGATTCTGGTGTACAGCATGTAAATCACAAAAGCAGGAGATGAAATCAATATGGATATGTCTACCATTGACTAATCCAGTGAATCTCCCATTTATTTAATTAAATTATTGCACATCGACCTTATGCTTGTATCATTGTATTTAACAAAGTACCTTTTTCAATGGTGGAGCAACTTTCTAATTAGCCATGAAAATAACAATGGTATTAAAATAATGGAGCTCTCATTCTACTTTTAACACTTTATTTGGAGTTTTGATGTAGAAAAAGCTTTCATCAGTATTATATAATATAAATCATAGAAAAGATCAGACATTTACCAGTTTAATGTGAGTTCATGTAGAATCTTAATGAATAGAAAGTTTAATGACTAAATGAGAGCTCTATTAAAAATAAGCAAAATGGACTGTTCGACATGACATAACACATGAACATGGTGGGAAGATATTAAATATACCTAGCATAAGAGGATGTAAGTATATTTTACTATATGTATATATTTATTCTCTCTTTGTGAGCCAAATTTATGAGTAGTAGCTGATATTATTAAACTTTTTAATATCTACTTTTCAATAAACTTACAGCAGTGCCATATCACACCTAAAATTTCAATTCACATAAAAATCAAGTGGTTCAATATTTTCCCTTTAGTAGAAATGAAGCTTAGAAACTAAAATAAATAAAGTAGACAGGACTGTATCTTATCTATGAAAAGATACTTGATCTGCTGTACCACAGATTTTTAAGGAGAAACCACACAACTGTAGATTAGCTCTAACTCTTTTAATGCAAGCTAATAAAAGAAAATCACTATGCAAGAACATTATTCATGATTTATCATAAATTCTGAAAGGATTGCCCACTAAAAGTGGTGGCATAGGTAGAATGACTACCAACGAGTCATTTGCAAATAAAAATACATCTTTTAACCTTACTAACAAATGAAAAGCAATAAAAATGCATCTGTAAATCTTACTAACAAATGAGAAACAAAGTAGGCATATAACTGGTTAAAAAGATTACAAATGATTGCAAGGTTTTAAGTGAAAAGCTATTAGGGAAAATGGGGACAAGCGACATTATAACAAAGAAAACATCAAAATAATGTTTCCATTATTTAGCAAGTTCAACTTCCAATAGAAATGCATTTTGGACAAAAACTGAAAAGTAAAGGCCATTGACAATCCTGAAAAAAAACATTAATTTTGGTTTTGCAACAGAGATTATACAACTGTTCATAGAAAATAAGTTGAAGTTATTGAAGATAAAAGACTTCACTCCCATGGTTTATTTATAGAAGAATTAGTAAAAATTTCAATAATTTATTTTCTTTTAAGAAACTGTGATGTTGAATCGTCTTATACTAGTGATAGGAAATAGTTATTAGAAGGAAATAGAGCAATAAAATTTGCTTTGGCTTTACCACACACTTAAGAATATGTTGTCCAAATTAAATTAATCAGCATGATCAGATTTTGGAATAGGCAATTCTAATTATTTAAAAGCTACCACTAAAAAAAGCAATTTTTTATTTTTTGTTTATTCTTTTGAATTTCTCTTAACATGTATAAATTGTAGATAATAATAGTTTTACTAGGACATTATAAAATTAATATGTAAATAAATATGTAAATTGTGTATTTTCCTCATATTCACCCTTCATTGCCCTCAGTTATTCATACACAAACACACACACACACACACATGCTCGCGCGCACGCACGTGATTGCATACACACTAGTTCCCCTAATAGTTTCTCTTCAACTTCCTCTAAATCTGTTTCCTTTTCTTCTTCTTCTTCTTCTTCTTCTTCTTCTTCTTCTTCTTCTTCTTCTTCTTCTTCTTCTTCTTCTTCTTCTTCTTCTTCTTCTTCTTCTTCTTCT